TGAATATTCTTAGTTGACATTCGGTTCGAAGCGCTTCACGTGTAGTTTGTTTTGATTGCCGATAAGCTACGCTCGCCAGTGAACTAAGTGGAGAGAAATTCCCACTTATCTGCCCCTCCCTCAAACCGCTAATTTGAAATCTGCTAAAAGCTGGAAGACACGTGACCAGCCTACACCAGGGTCTCTTCTCGCTCGCTCCGGGGGGACGGGAAGATGAGAGACCCTGGAAACGAGGTTGACCATTTTGTACGGTCGAACCAATTCTTCTATTTTAACTATGTTAACTGGTGAGACCATTATTTAACCATTCGGATCATTTTGACCAATTGCACCATTTTCTCTAGTTAGACCATGTTAACCTGTTGGACCATTTCAAGCATTTTCTCTTTTAGTTGAAATTTAAAAACGATCGATCTCTGGCAAAAATGCTTAAAAACTACGAGTTTGATTTGAAAACGAGCTTTGATTTTGAAAACGCGTCAATTATTGACAAAGGCACTTTTCGAACCAGAAAAACATTAGAAGCGTGGCATACCAGAATGACACTTAACGCAGATAACAATTCTTGCCCGTTACCTGGACAATACAACATTCTTTTTAACAAATATTCATAATCATTCACATTCTCGTTCTTTCGCAGTTCATGTCTTTATTTAAATTCTCTCATCGCTTGTTTATCATTCATTTTACCCGTCGAAGACTGCAGTTCGAGCAGTCAAAAGCTCTTGGTTATTAATAATTTTTGCCAGAGATCGTTTTTAAATTTCAACTATGTTTCATCCTGCTGGCTGCGGCCCTTCAATATTTTCATTTTCTCTTTTAGTGGTCGGGACATTTGAACTGGTTTGATCATGTTAACCGGTTGGGTCATTTTAACCAAATGAACCATTTTCCCTTGTTAGGCCATTGCAAGCAGTTGGACCATTTTAACTGGTTTTATCATTTTAACGGGTTTGACCAATAAACTAGTCGGATCATTTTGACCAATTGCACCATTTTCTCTAGTTAGACCATGTTAACGTGTTGGACTAATTCTCTAGTTTCATCCTTTAAACCGGTTGATCATTTAACTTGTTAGATCATTTCAAGCGGTTGGACCATTTTAACCAATTGGACCCTTTGATCTAGTGAGACTATGGGGACAATTAGAACTATTTTATTTAGTACGACCATTTCAATTGTTTAAACCATTTTATGTTGTTGAACCATTTTAATTGCTTGGATCATTTTAACCCGTTGGACCTTTTAATCTAGTTAGTTAGGACCATTTCTTCCATCAGTTGGACCGTTTTCTCTCGTTAGATCAGTGTAAGCGTTCAGAGTACTTTAGTTAGTTGGACCCGGCCATTTAAACCAATGGGAGCATTTTTGGGAATCCGACCATTTTATCTTGCAAGCCCATTTTTCTATTTTGAGCATTCTAACTAGTTGGATCGTTTTAACCAGTTGGACCATTTTATCCTGGTTAGTTAAGGCCACTTTAGGTATTTGCTCGATTTTAATATATTTAATTCACTTTTATCAGTTTTAATTGATTTGACCATATTAAGGGGCTGTCCGCGTAAGAACCGACCACTCGAATTTCGGCCGATCACAGATTTCCCTCAAATTTTTACTGTGAGATACTTTTTTCTATTATATAAGCAAAAGTTGTATTTATTTGATTCGTAAAGCTATTTTATCACATTTTTGGCGACGAGATGTGAGGACGGTCAAAAGCAATGAAAATTATTTATTTCAGAGTCAATTTTCAGCGTTTCGCTGGAGGCTCCAAAAACTTCACAGCACGAAAAAGGAGATTTACGCAAAATTAAAGTTGCGTAAGTCTGCGTAAAGTTCGTTAAGTAACTTTACGCTAGTCTTATAATGCTCGTAAAGACGCTTAAAGGTAGATTTACGTAATTGGACGTAAAGCTCTCGTAAGGGTGTCTTAAAGCCGAAGAACCAGATTTACATTCAATGTAAAGTTTGCGTTAAGTTAAACTATACTAGACTGAAATTAGAGTTCATTTGGTTATATCAACTCAGTTGAAATTGTAAATTGGCCACCGTAACGAATAAAAAAGCTGGCGTTTCGAGCGTTAGCCTTTCGTCAGAGCGAATGACAACTTGCATAAGCTTTTTGCCTTGTGAAAGTTGACTTTCCTTTAGGCTTTAAGACGCTTATACACCACATTTACGCGTGTACGTAAAGCTGGCGTAAATCTCTACTTTGCACCAACTTTACGTTGTGCATAAAGGCCTCTTAAAGAAGTCTCATTACTCTAGCTTTACGTCAGAGCGTAGACTTTCTCAAAGTCCGTTTTGGTGAGAGTCCAGTGGAGCGGAATACGGACTTTCCTCACCTGCAGCGCGCCAAATCCAACCGACCAGATTTTAGGTCGGCGGTGTGTCAGGGGGCGTGGTAGCAATACTCTCCAATCAGAAACCGTTATGTAATTTGACGTCATTTTCCTGGTAATTTGATCTCCCGCTCCAGTGCGTAGACTGAATCAAAATGAATGTGCGAGAAGCCATAAACTTCGGGTTAAATAAGGTTAATTTCGAAGATATCAGAGAGAATCAACGGAAGGTAGTAGAAGCTGACCTTGGTGGCCGAGATGTTTTGATGATTTCGCCGACAGGATCGGGAAAAAGTCTTACCTTTCATATCGCGCCATTTGCGATAGATTTCTTCAAACATTCAGACGGTGGGGAATATATAATGACATAATATGTTACTATCACGGTCTGTTTATTGTGAGATTTTAAGCCACTATCCCGGTCGGTATGATAATTTCGTAAATAAAAAAATAAATAATATTTTTTTTTAATATATATAAT